CTCCGCACCAATGAGCAAGGATTCACGCTGCGGAGGAGAAGAAGGAGAAGAAGGAGAAGAAAAGAATGACGCTTTGTTAAGGTTATTTTTGTACATGTACATTCTACATGTGTGGATTATCATGATACCCCCATAACCAAATTCCCTTGCCACGTTTCTCACTTTCCATTCCACAGTTGCACGCAGTCATAGCATGCGATGGATAAAATATAGCCATAATGCACAGAGATCAACGACTTGGGGTAAACCCAAGGTCTCGGACAGGAAAGCATGCTTACATACACACATGCATACACATATGTACATGGTACCTACTTACCGCGTCTTGCAGCAGCTACCTAGCCATGCACTCCAATGCCCGCTCGCTTTCCCTGTCCCCCCACGTGGAACGAGCGCAACCCTCGTTCTATTATAGACCAGCGCAGCCAACCTAGACCTAGACCTAATGCCGCCCCAACTCTACCGGTACCCACCATCGTTTGCGGGCTGGCCGCCAATCTGGTCGCTGCGTTGATACAGCATAAAGGATCCAACAACCACCTGACGGGCAAAAGAAGGCCAAGATGGGGCCCGCCCTTCTCTACTGTCCTTGTAGCTCGGTGTTTGCTGGTGGCAGAAGCAATATATAGTCTTACTGTACTGTGCACCATAGTGATGGTGGAATCCAGCCCGCGACAACAATGGGCAAATCTCGCCGGTGGGCCGCTTTGGGCGTCGGGCATGGCGATCCCGGCGAGAATTCCCCAGTGTCAGGAGGTCAGGGCAATTCCCCCCACAAGTTCCCTCAACACACCTGCACACTGGCTGCACACTTTCACACCAATCCTCGCCTTTTCCCCGCAAAATTCTTCCCCCAGAGCTGCTTCGTCGAGCCTCCCCCCAAGGCCCGATGTCCAGGCTTCCGTTGCCGACGCCAACCAAACCCCTCCTCCCTCCACCCCACCTTCTCCCCTCCTCCTCCTCCTCCACCACCTCCTCCTCTATTCCCCGTAGTCTGCGGCTTCTGGAATCCCCTTTGGTTCGGGCTCATTTCTCGGTGCCTTTTTGCTCCCTCGCAAAGGAACAAGGCGACCATGCCCAAGCTAGCAACTTGGTCCATGCCTCCATCTCATCAGCAACACCATCAGCCGCAGAG